GAAAGGCAGCCCTTCCCCAAGTGTTCTACCGACTAGTAGTGATTTGGACGAGCTGTGGTGCCAGCAGCGGCACAGCTGGAGCAACTCAACTGGAGCGTGGATTGGCATGACAACGACCAACACCCATACTAGGGGATCCCGCTTGCGTTTCCTCGACGAACTTCCCTGCTTTTCCGCCACTGGTGTACAGTACTTCTACGTCCCGGTAATCTCCTCCGAAACCTATCGTAATCGCTGCCTTTGAGACAACTGCATAAAGTGTAACCTGTGGTGACGCTTCCCGCAACAGTCGATGATGATGAACAGTAGCCACAAGTTCTCATGCAATTCGTCTGAAAAATCACCGATGTTCCTTACTGTTCGATCGGAATTCAGGATGATCAAAAGAGAAAGCTCCAATTTACCCTAACGAAGTTCTGCATGTCGACATTTCTGCAGATTGAGGGATCGTTCTCGCATTCGATTACCGCATCGACGCATCCACCTATTCACTGAATTTTAGGTATTTTCAAAATAAAGTCATGAACTTCTCACCTTCGAGGCAGAAACCGCAAACATTCGGACAGTCTTCGGCAATGATCGTTCTCCATGTTGGATCTCTGCACTGAGCCGGAGTTATAGTCGAGCACCTCACTCTTGGGACTGAAGTTTTGAAGGTACTTTCAAGCTAACGACAGCATCATAACTTTAATTGCTAACGTACAGTCCACGTTTGAGCATTGGTACTCAGGTGTCATACAACAGAAGCCGCAGTGTTTCGGACAGCTCGAGATAGCAATTTCTTTTACATCAGCGTCCTGAATGGAAAAGTCCTTGACACTCGAATGATTCAGCAGTTCACCTTGCTCACCGTCAAACACAACGCGTCTCTGTCCGTTGTTCCTCCCGCAACAACTGCAGTACCAAACAATGCAGCGCATGCGGCTCCTGAGTAGTTATCATCGCATGCTGTCGCTGATGCAATGAACTGAAACGTTAGGTGTAAGTGTGTAAAATTTTTTGTGCCTTACAAACTTGTTTGATGGAACGTTTATTCCAATGGTCTAATTTGTGAGTGAATCGCCGTCTTCGGGAACGCGGCAGGAGACCCGTCGCGCGAGGAGAAGCCATGGACGCAGGCGTGTCAACGGACGAGTCGCATCGCGTACTATGCGATGTGTAGGCGTGCTATAGTATTCCATTTACCCTGACGACGCCGCTACAGTACGTGCTGGGACTTGTCGCTGACCCGCTAGGTATCTGCCTTCTTGCCGTGCGACGGGCCTCCTGACAGGTACTCGTCGACTTCAGATTTTGGGAACTAACGCTGACTTGACAGCGTCTTCACATACTACGCACACGATCTCTGCTGGTGGTGGGTCCACTGGCGGGTTCAGTGCTGAGGGATCCACCACAACTATTGGTTGTCCATGGCAAGGGTTCCGTGGCATGCTGTACACAGGGCTTACAGCCTGCACCTGCACCAGAGGTTGAATCGAGGGAGACAGGGACGGGAACCGTAAATTCAAAGTTCAGGGGTCATCCCGACCGAGTGCAGTAGTACTCGATCGGAGATGGTTCTTAAAACTCTGTATCTTTGAACGCGTCGCCCCGATCTGAGGCTTCGTCAGACCGGACTACAGACGCAGAGCTTTGGGACCGATTCCCGAAAGGATCCTGCTGCGCACGGCGCCTGACAGTTAGGATGGCCCCTCCCTTCCTTTCCTAACAATGGCTTTGAGGAATAGTTTTCGCTTATACGCTTGACATACCGTCGGTGTTGTGGAATCGCCATTAGTGCAGTTCATGTCAGTGAAAGCCGCTGCTGAGACATACGACGCCAAGTACAAACAGGCAACCACAACACACAGCATTGCTTATCTGAAAGCTTTGGGCATATATTGTTTGAAAATATTGGGCATAATAATAAAGAGCTCTTGTACTACCGTATTCACAAGAGTTGTGATAACACGCATTCGTATTTTTCGCTTTCACAGTCTTGAAGGATGTTTATCGTCCCTCCCCTAGGATTTTGCTGACTATGATGGGGGATATGTGCTTCCAAAAATCCTCGTTGGCTCAATTTTATCTACATATCAATGCTAAAATCTTTTTAAATCTTAGAAGTAGTGTTTTAAATTCTCTTTTCAGTGTAGACGAAAATTAAATTTTGCATCCATGAGAATGAATATTTCAATTTAATTAAAGGACTTGAGATTTTCTGAGGTTTTTTGAAAAAGAGAGGCTGGAAAACGCCATGGAACCAATTGCGGCAGTGTGATTCCGTGTGAGCATTCTGCTTTTATAAGTCGTCGGAGTCCAATGTTCTCGTGTAGTGATGAGCATCTGTTCAAACATGCTCCCAGTGTACTGTTCATTCAAATTTCGGAGCACTCACAATGGTTGTCTGATCGTTTGGTTCATCATCATATCGAGCTCAAAGGCAAGCCCCGGCCTGAAATTGCTGCATAAGCGCGCTTCGTAGTGATGGCTAAGCTGCACGAAGAAACGAAAGTCCAAAAAAATCCAGCGAAACCGTCAGGAACGTTAAACCTGAGGGCCCAATCCTCGAAAAACTAAAGTAAGGTCGGACGTGGTAGACGCAGGGGAGTATGGACCAGAGAAGATCAAGCACCCAAAAGAGCGCCCCGTAAGAGAGAGCACACGGATTTTTAAATCAATCGTGGCCATCGCGGAGCGTTGCGATAGTTGCCAGTCCATAACGCTTAGCGCCCTATCCAGGCTGGCTCTATCTCTATAGGTACAGACCCAACAAATTGACTTTGGGCGTAGTTCCTTCTACTTAGTCTCATCCCAAGGGTTGCCCTTGAGTGGGCTTCGCAGTCCATCATCGCACTTTTGAAGTCTATCGAGATAATGAGCTTTGTATCGCAAGAATAGCGAACGAACTTGATACAGAGGAGACGCACTCCGGAGCGCACTATCAGATCAAGGCACCATTAGCTGAATTTTTCTTTAATTTTTGGAATTTTGGATGAATCGTGTCTGGGTGTCTGGGATAAGTTGTTTTTTTATGAATATTTTTTACTATTTTCTCTCTGAAACACGCTCATAATAAGGCAGAAAAGTTAAAAATATGTTATTGTTTCCACACAATTGCCATAAATCGCTCATAGCCGTTTACAGAATCGGCAGAATTCTGGTGGGATATCACAAAATGAGTCTTCATATTAAAAATCCAGGGAAGGTAGTAACCTAGCCCAAACTGGCTGTTAAGGACAAGCCATAACATGCCCGTAACCGGCAAAGAACGTTGTTGAAGTTGGAAGTTAACTAGCTCTGAAACACGCAGCTTCGTGACATCGCAAGCAAAAAACTTACGAACCCGTATCAGCGCCGTACGTGCGGGAATTGCTATCGTTGCCACTGCACCACGGAGAACTAAACTATTAAAAATTCATGGGATCCTTAAAAGATTTGATTCGATATTCTCACGATGTATTCGTAGCCTGAGAGGAGACATTGATACAGGTAAGGCTCTCTCCACGAAATGCTTTATTTCCCTGTTCCTTCAGAGACCTTAGGGAACTCTTTCACAACCTGCAATAGAGGGAAGAAAGTCCTCATATGTTCGTACTAGCAGCACATCTTATGGAAGGTGACGAAACTCTAGAGAGTGTCTCCATAGCCATTAATGCACTCAAAACAGTGAGGATCATAACTGACTTAGCACGGCCAGCAGGGAGCTGAATTATCTTATGGTTAGCTTCAAATAACAGACAATAAATCAAGTAAGAAACACGACAGACACTGCCATTTCTCGAAAATCGGAAGTTATGGCGTACGATCCTGTTCCAAGAATGGCCACCACACCCTTTGCAAGCTTCCCGTGTCCGATGTCATGTTCTTGCCATTACTTGTGCGAGCTGTTTCTTAGACCATAATGTATTAGGTTGTGCATTAATTATCTGCTGCCGTTTTTTTTCAGGCTCATGGTCCATTGATTTTTTGCTGATTATTTTCAAATCTATGAAATAGCCTAAAAACGCTCAGTTTCTTGTATTAGGTGTTTCAGAAAGTTCTGTCGTTTTCTGACACTCCACTTTTGGATGCTTTATTTCCCTTGAAATCTGGGAAAGCTGCAATTGATGTTGATATCATTTTGAAGAGCTTTTCCAGCTCTATCCAATGCTTAGCTCAACTTTGTCCTAAAATATTTTCTTATAGCTTTTTCAAAGCTTTGAATGCGGTATACTCGATGAGCAAGTTGGCATGACTTTCTTTTTCTAGCTTTAAATAGACCTGAAAGTGGCGGGAACAGTTCAAGATATTAACGATGCACTTGGCCTAGATTCGCAATAAATGTGCTCAGAAGCAGTAGTTCAAAAAGTTATTGTAACGAAAGCGAGAGCCTTGAATATGATGAGAGTGGTGGTCGGATATCGGACGTTGTCTCCGATTAGCCAAAAGTTCTGATTGAAGCACTCGTGCGTAAGACCATAGAGGTTCTGCCCAACCTGGGCGTATATGGTTTGTACAGCCAAGCTATACGGAAGAAGCTGGAAAGTCCAAAAAATTTGATAGGGGCGTGCCGCGACAAATCACCAATTTGAAGGGTCGTCCATCAAATTGTCGCTTGTTTTATGTGATAAAAGCGACTCGTTTCTCTACAGATTTGCGACGTACAATAAAGAGCGATTCTTCTCTATAGTCCACGAAGCTTTGCTGAATAGATCGACGGCGATGAAGCTCTACAAACTTTGCAGAATTTAAACTGTGCTGGAGGAGGGTTGTGGCAGCTTTCATGGGGTCCGCGGCTGGCCATGTTCTTCAGTATCACGTTGAACTTGGAGAATCAATTTTTATATT